TTTTAAAATCTTGAGAGCAGGAAAAAGAATACTGCAAGAAACGAAAGCTTGAATGAAATGGAGAAAAACAACAGAAAATCGCATGTTTTTTAATTGAGGGAATTCGACTTTACTGAGAAGAGGAAAAAAAAGATGTGGAGGGAGAGAAAGTGAGAGAGTAAATGAGTGAAGTGAGTGAGAGAGGGAAGCAGATGGCTGGAAATATAGCCTGCTAAATTATTCATCCGGGCTGGAGTCTGGAGATAGATAGATGGATCGGGGCTGGCATGGACACTTTTATTAGGATTCCAGGAGCTGTGAGCAGAGTGCTTTCAAAACACCCTGATTGCCTTGTGAGACTAAGAAAAGTAATTGTATCAGGTCTGGGAGCAGCCATTTGCCGAGAAAATTCAAATCTCCACAGATGCGGGCGTGTATCAAACTTTGCGAAGCATGAAAATAAGTTTGAACCATCTATGGATGTGATTGTTTCAGCTGCAGTCATTTCATTAAGCCGATGTTTGTACTGCAGCAAAAAAAGAAAACAGCAGAAAAAAATCTTTAACAAATACTCTTCCTCTAAACTTTGACCAATACAAACATAGCAGAAGGTGTATCAGGATGCAAATCTTTGCGGCATGCTTTGCTGTGTCGATTTAGACGCAGAGATGTATTTCTGCAGAGTCGGAGGAAATAAATATAAGAATAAGAATATAAGAAGATACAGGATGCAAAAAATATATATTTGAACCTGGCTTGGATTAGATTATTTAAGATGCAGTGATGTATTTCTTTTTTAAGTTACAATGGCAGAGTCTGAAAAAAAGAAAATAAAAATGATGGAAGAAAGACCTGCACAAATCCCTTATTTTTAAATATAATAAATACTGACTACATTTGAGATATAGGATGCCAAACTGTCTGGAAAAGTACAAACATTCAGTCTTACATTAGATAACTTTAACTGCACTGATTCCTGTTTCTCATGCCTGCAGAGTCTAATCATTACAAAACATTAGTGAAGAATATTAAACTAACATGATTTCCTCTGCAGGTTTTTCAAATTGCAATAGATTTGTTGTTTTGTGTTTTGGGATCTTTGACCAAACCTCTGGATTAAATCAGTATGATGTGACAATTTTTACTTATAGCAATTTCTGAAAAGTCTAACAATAAATATACAATTACAGAACAACTTTCTGGATGTTTTTAATGTCTGAAAAAGCACAGAGAGGTCTAAGCCATGCTTAAGTAAGATTATTTTCACTGCAGTGTTTCAATTTCTAAACCCAGTCCCGACAAAGTTTACAAATTAAGAGCAATCTTTGACAAATGTTCTCTGTCTCAACTTTGACCTCTGTTTTCTCTGAATGCGGTCAATCAGGGTGCAGAGATGCTTTTCAAAAAAGCCCTGACATAAATCCCACTTGTGCTTAGATTGCAATGCACATGCAGATGTTCTTTGTTTCGTAAATCTGATCCCTGCAAAGTCTACCAATTAAGAGAAAAGTGTGAAAGAAAGCCTTTTCCTAACACCTTTAATCTTCATTTTGAGTAAACCTGAATGTGTATCAGGAGATTCAGGATGCAAAATAAGTCTAGTTAAGCCATACCTGGTGAGTTATTTAGGATGCAGGTACGTACATATATGAAGTAGAACTATTACGGATAAAAGAAAGGGAACTATTTGACGTTCTCTTATCCTTAATTCTGACCTATTGGGTTTTTTATGAGCTTTTTTAAGATGCTGTGGTGCCTGGCAAAGCACAAATATAAGATTAATCCATGATTGAATGAGATCATTTCACCTGTTGTCATGTATTTCCTAAACCTGCAGAGAGGAATCACTAAGAAGAAAAAAGGTACAAAGATCTTTTACAAATGTGCTCCCTCTTTATTTTGACCACAACTGTCTCTGAATGCGTTGACTCAGGATGCATACAAATATGTTTAAGCCACCTTTTCATGACACTTTTTAATCTGCAATCATGTTTCCACCACCTAAAAACTCCTGAAGGGTCCAGCGTTTGTGAATAAAAGATTGTTCACAAATGTTCCAATCTTTGATTTTCATCACCTCTGAGTTTGAGTGAGGTGACTTGGGAGGTGTGGTGTCAAGAAAAGCATGAATATAAGCTTGAACTGTGCTTAAATCAAATCATTTCAGCTGCAGTGATGCATTTATAAACCCAGCGCCTGCAGAGGGTAATACTGAGAGAGGGGAAAAAAGAATTTCTTTTTATTCCAGATGTTCTCTTTTATAGTTTGGTCACCACTGGGATTGTCTGAGGAGCTTCAGGATACATAAAAAAAATAAGTTGAAGCTATGCTTGTGTACAATTTCCTTCACCCAAATCCTGCAGATATATCTGAAGGAAAATGTTTAACAAACTCTCTTCTCCTCTTTATGAGGTGATTCAGGATGCTGCAATTTGTCTGGAAAAATGGTGGGAGCTTGGACATCTCACCTGCCCCTCGACTGTTCGGGTTTTCTTGAACAAGTTTCAAACATTGCGGTTGAATAAAAAATAAAAGACTGCCAAGAGAGGGAAACAACCTGGTTCGTAAAATACGATTTGTGGTGGACATATGTAGTGAACGTCTGCTGCAGGGAAGTCCAGCAGTCCTTGAGTGTGTTTAAACCCGTCTGAGGAAAAAGGTAGTAAAAATGTCTATATATACTTGCAGTTATTTACAGTTTTACCTCTGCTTTTAGAAAAAAGAAACATCAAATATTTGCCTTCAGATTGGCCTTGTTTGCTTTATTTCCCCCTTTGCTTCAACACATGCTGTAGAGAAAATACTCTTTCTCTATGTTCTATTTTTCCACTTAGCTTTGAGCATCATGTGGAGCATATATGACACTCCCAGGCACACACACACACACACACACACACACACACACACACACACACACACACACTCCTGAGTGGAGGGCTCCGGGGAAATAGAGCAGAGAGGAAGCTACGTGCCTTCGCCAAGCAAGGGCTGTCTGGTGTCATGGCAACCGGTGCAGATTACCCCACCCTCCATCACTCAGAGAGAGAGGAGAGGAGGGATGAGCGCACACACACACACACACACACACACACACACACACACACACACACACACACACACACACACACACACACACACACACACACACACGCATCCATGAATGTATAGGAACACGTAAAAAATGTTGCACAACATCGTAAATGCTCTTACATGATTCATAAATAATCTTTTTAAAATGTGTCAGCTTTTCAGACTGTAACGTCTTTTCTGCAGCTGTAAACTCTTTAAAAATAAGCTGGAGGAAGAAATGGAGAAGGAAGGGAGGGAGAGAGTGGTGCAGGAGAAAAAGGTGGAGAGGGCCATAAACATATAGTAGAGCTAAATACATCTGGGGGATATACTGTTATTAAAAGCAGTAAGGTTATCCGACGAGCAGCTTTACTGTGGGGGTGGACAGTTAGCATCGCGCTAACGCCTTTCACGCCGCCAGAGTCCTATTGAAAGGAATTTAGCAGGAGATATTATTCTCTTAAGTGTGTGTGTAGGTTAATGCTGCAGCCTGAGGAGAGGAGAGGAGAGGAGAGAGAGGAGAGGAGAGGAGAGGAGAGGAGAGGAGAGGAGAGGAGAGGCAGTGATGCATGGACGAGCTGACAGCCAGAGAGGGAAGAAAAGAAGGGGGAAGGAGAGATAAAATTAGAGTCTGCATCAGGGTAGAACGGCCCGAAGTTTGAGATTTTTATAGGAAAGCAAGAAAAGAGAAAAGGGTGTGGAAGAGATAAATGACAGCAGCAAGAAGGAGAGGAGGAAGAAAAGGGGGGGGGGGGGGGGGGAGTAGAGGGCGTTTGAGGATATCGCCTCCGAAATTGACTGCGGCACAGCCATCGTCCACGGTTACATCACAGCTGAGCTCAAACTCAGGATGAACCCACCCCCCTCTCTCCTTCATTCGCTCGCTCCCTCCCTCTCTCTCTCTCTTTGTCTCTGCCAACCTTAAAGCACCTCAAATCCAACTTTTGACCGTTTGGCAATTATGCGGAGATGACTGAGTGTGTGCGATGGGATGTATCATTGTTTAATGGGATGCACCGGAACGGCAGAAGACTGAAATCCCGAGGAGACGTTTGTCGACTCTCTGGCTTCCTTTTCTTTTTTAATGCTGCAGTCATCAGCTTATAATCAGCTGCATCACAAAAGATTGTATCTTTCATATAAGTCTTTCATTATTAGTAATCAATTAGAATCACTAGCCTGTGAACACCAGTATGAATATTATAAGTTTAAAATAAAGCCTGTATTCATGCAGGGATTCCAGTCTGAGCGTCCTGCTGTTTCCCAGCACACACACACTCATACTATGAGCTCTGCAGGAGCAGGAGAGAGTCCAGAGCCCAGTCGAAAGGTCACCTTAATCAACACCTTCTAATTCCCATCTTGTCAATAAATCAGCTTGTTCAGCGGCCCGATGCTTCAAAATAAGATCATCTGGACTCATACCTTATGTCACTTCTACACGGACATGGCTCTGCAGTCAATTTAGCAACTATAGTGTGCTATACCTCCAATAAGAAGAAATACAATTGGCAATGTCTATTTTAACGTGCAACAAAAGCTAGCTAAGAAGCTAAGGATGCCTCTTCTTCAAATTGTAAATATTAAACATGTCCAATACTTATGATCTTATACCCGGTTGTGTATGTGTGTGTGTGGGGAGGGGGAGGGGGGGCAGCTCTGTGGATTGTCACTTGAACCAAAACAAAACAAAACGTGACTGTGTATGAATTGGATTAGTTACTTCTGATGGTCACTTTACAAAGCAGCCTCTGCCATCAGTGTGTGAATGGGTTGCTGTGTCTTGCGGTGTAAAAAGCGCTCTGAGTAGTCAGAAGACTTTGTAAGTCATTAAGACCCCAACATATGTAAAAACAGGGCTCTGGTTTAAAAAAAATAAATAAATACCAGAATTCAGCTTGCAGGTATCAAGCAAATACACTGATAACCTGTGTTATGTCCTCTCCTTACAGGAGCTGATGTGACAGACTGGAACCCACACATGACACCTGACAGTAATCTGTAAGTACTGATGTGTTATAAACTGATTCTACTGTGTCGGGTGCGTTGGTCAAAGTTTGTCGGCCTGCTGGCTGTCTCTTGTATCAGTGTAATCAATGACACAATGCAGTACAAACAGCTCTGTAGCTCTGTCCTGCAATATTTCAACACAGGCATAAATTAAATACAAATCATTTGCATGCTCACTTTCACCAGAGTAAATTCAGACACAAAATTTAAAATGCACCAGTTATTGATCAGTCATTATTTTCTCCTTGGTGATATATGAATTGGTGATCACGTCTTTGTTGCAGCTTCTACATGTGAGGGATTTCTCCACATCATTAACTGAGTATATGTATGTTTTTAGAGCATTGGTTGGACAAACAACCAACATATCACACATGTGCTTAAAGAAACTACAAATAACATTTCTAAAGAACATTTAACATCAAAATGAAGTGCACATTTGCATATTAATGAGAGGTTTCATGCTAATTTACTTCTTTACTGTAAAAAAATCTGAGATCAGATCAGATAAGATCACATCTATGCGTTTATGACCTCAGAGAAAAGCCAAGCTATTCCCTCATTAATCTCAGCAGATCACAGATATTACCCAGCTATTAGTTTTTTTTTTTTTCTCACTCTGACCCTTGTACACAGTCATTCCTATACAATAAATCACTCTAAGCGATTTTTATCATGTGTTAGTGCTTGATTTGCAACCCCTATCTCCCCCAGCTGACAGTGGACATGTCTCTTGATGTCAGTCTCTGCTGCTGCCGTTTCAGCGTTTGATGTTCCAACACCTTGCTGTTTGAAATCCTGCACAGACGCACAAGTCTGTTGAACAGGATTTCAAAGATTTGAATGTCACTTTCAGCACGGTTAGCATGGAGGATAAGAGCGTTGAACACGTCAGGTTTCTGTGTCTGGCTCGCTGTGTGTCTCTGTTTAATGCAGCTGCTAGCGTTCTGTGGTCATCGCTCTATAAATACAGCAGCTGACTGACGGACCCTGCAGCAGCTGTCTGCCGTCTCATGAAACATGGACACATAATGTACACACTGATGGAAACGGGCAGAAACACATGTGGAGTGTTTATTGTTGTTGTAAAAAAGATGGAAGACCACCGGTCTATTTCTTTATTTCTTTTTCACGGTCATCCTGTGACGCAATCTTTCAAACAGTCCCAGCTTCACCTGTTTAATAATTCAGGCTAATTCTCTTTGAGCTCAAATAATTATAGATTCATTTGGGCCGGTAAGATCATGTTAAATCCTCTGCTCTGATTTGGTTAATGGCCAGTTGCCGGTCTTGCTGAAATATGGGTCTCGATAGTCCAGTTCTGTGATTCAATTGGTTTATTTCTTTTGCTTTTTTATTCACAGTTTTTATTTAAGACAGTCACTCAGGTGTTTTTTTTTTGTATGGTTCCAACCTTTACATATCTGATTGTGTTTGGATCCAACGAGATATTTATGAAACACAAACAGCAACAAAACTTACTGATTGAGGCAGAGGTAGACCAGCGACCCCCAGGTCCTGACAGGTAAAAAAATACTGTTTTTGTCAATGGTGCAATATAGCTGACAGCATGTTTTGGTTGAAAATGGCATCTTATCTTAAAAGTTGATTCTTGTATTTTTAAACCTTGGTTCTTGTTTGACATATTTCAGGGTCTAAATGACTAAAAGGTTAAATAAGAAGGACGTTTTGGAACTACTCCAGTATAGTTTTTGTTATTTAGCCGTGAAAGGCAACAAAGCCCTTGGTGGAAAATTAAAGAACATCCACTTAGAGTTTTTGTTTTGGGCACTGACAGGCTCAGATTTTTATTCTTAAGCTCTTTTCACACATGCACTTCTTGCAAATTTCTAAAACATGTCAGGACAGACTTCCCCTAAAATGTTCCTGACCTGCCTGTTCACACATTCACGCACCACAAAAACAGCATTCAACACTATATTGAGAGTTTTTGCCTACGCATCAGTGCTTCATGTAATCGGACTTCTTAGAGTCTCAATGAATGAGTAGTAACCAACATAGTTGCATACAGGCAGGGTATGAAACTGCTTCACTGTACAGGCAAAAGGATTGCACCTGTCGCTCATTGGTTGCATCTCGTTAATGTCATCAACCCTGCCCTATTACTTGTGGTGAATTTTCCTGACATGTCCTGCTGCATTCACACATCGGCTCAACCCCAGATTCTTGTGGAAATTTTACTCTTAGGATTGCAAGAAAAATTCAGGATAAACGAAAAAATGTTTCCCTTTGCATGCATAAATGCAGCTCTTCCTGAAAGTTTCAGGAAATTATCAGGAGTTTTGTGCATCTGATCTGTGGCAACACCAACAGTTTCTGACAATATTACAGAAAGGATCCCTACTAAAACTAAGACCTCTTTTTTCTAACCAGTAACAGCCTTTACATACATCACTTGCGCCCCCTCCTTTCTACATATCTCCTTTCAAAGCAGCCAGAACCCATTGGCAAAATCAGCTTTCTCGACCTCAAGAACACAGAAGTTGATTGTCTACCTTTAAATCTACGAGTTTGTTTGTTTCTGTTATTGTATGATTCTGATATTTGTGCACCAAGCGAGGCAGCAGTTGACCAAATTCTTCTGTGTTCTTTAAGGTCAAATTACTGTAATCTTTAATGGAAGCTGGTGGCTTTAAAAAGAGAGCAATGTTACAGCCGTAAAAGCAACCAAAGCGGTGGATTTCTGCAGGGATCTTTTCTGTAATGTCGGCAGACCTTTGACCCTGTCAGATTGAAACAAGTGGACAACTTCGATCAGACACATTTGCCTGATCACAATTATTATTGCAGCCATTCAAGCTTCCTTTTGCAGGCAAGTATTTCAGCAATTCAACAACTATGTGCACCTTTTCGTCAATTAGACCACAACAAATGTAAAAACAATAATTCCCTGCTTTAAAAACACCAGATTTCCTTCTAGAAAATGTAATTTTTTCTGTCAAACTGGACAGTCTATAGAAAATATTTTCAAGCTCAACAAAAGGTGCATTTTACTGCAAGAAAGACATCCCCAACAAAGACCAGTGAAAAGCATCAACAACTTTAATGCAACGTTCTTTCTAGTATAACACGTATAAAGAATATATCAATCCTGCCCAGTTACAGACAGTGGACAGACAGATCCGTCAGTGGTCTCCTCCTCCTCCGTCTAGCACACATGACAGCAGAGAGTGGCAGTGAAACAATGATGCGGATGTTGAGGATCCCACATTTATCCTCCCCATTCAGCGCTGCAGCAGCTGCACAGACATAAGGAGAGGCATCGTTACGGCGAGCTGAGGACTGTTAATAGGCCCGCAACGTGGGGGGCCTGCCAACTCCGCACGGGGCTCATGAGAGGAGAGAGGAGGGGAGGGAGGGAGAGCACGAGGAGGTCACAGGGTTAGGGAGGAGGACAAGATGTGGGAGGAGTGTTTGAGACAGGAGGAGCAGAAATGAAAGAGTTTGTGTACAGTAAAGGGTGTATTTTTATCTTCCCTGAATGGAGGAACATGAATGAATGCGGGCTTGCTTGCCAATTTCTCCCGCACAAATGGCTTCAACCCAGAACATTTAAATGAGGAAAAGATGATTGCAGACAAACTACAGAAATCTGCATCAGCGCAGCATAAGATATGTGCATCCATCCACGGCTGCTCTCTTTAATCAAAACATTTTAACCTGGTTCATCTTACTCTAAGTGGCCATAAAGTCAGTTATCGTTTTATTAACAGCCATAAACTACATAAGGCTTCGATGGAAAGGCCTTTACCAAAAGTTGAAATATGAATGTCAAAACTTCAGCCAAAATAGCCAAATCCCAGAACAAGACTAAAACCAACAATGACTCTGTCAATGAACTAGTATGTATATGTAGGCTATGTGTGTGCGTGCAGTATGTGTGTGTGTGTGTGGGTTACACCATACTGGCGTCAAAAATTGAGGTGCACTGAGCTTGGCAGCCAATCAGAGTATTTCCATCACCGAGCACTCTGCTGCCGTTTTAAGTATGTTCAATCCAATGTGGGAACCCGTCAGCAATCAGTGTCTGACGGCGATTTATGTGTCTTAGAATGGAGGCGGACTTTTGGCTTGTAGCCAGGTACAGTAAGTGTAAAGTGACTTCAAGCTAAGACTTCCCTTTCCGTATGTTCAGATAATTTAGATCAAAAGCAGAGTTAAATGTGCACCTCCAGATATGTCTGCAAAATAAACACTTATTCTTTGGTTCTTGAGGAGTGGACAAAACTTTTAAAATGTTTGTTCTTCTGATGCATTTCAGGAAGATAGGGAATCCAAACGCTGACTGGCTATAGCTGCTGTGTCTCTCAACTAGAACAGTCTGATCGAGAACAAATTGTTAGCTTCACCTGAATGCAGATATCTGTTAATAGAAGATTAGTCTTTAGATTATTGTCAGATTCTACCTTTTTATGTACAATCTGTTAATAGAGATTATGCCCAATCTAGCTAAATCTGAAGTTAAGGGCTGTCTCCTGCCTATATCTTAAAACCAATCCAACAAAATCAAATGAATGTTCAGAAGGCATGTGGCTGTAAGGAATAACCCAAAGATAGAGCTACAACTTAAAAGCCTCTCCTTGGCTATTGTCATGACAGGTTGCAATATAAACAAGGTGAAATGTTTCTAATCATTTCATAAAATTAGTTAAAACCTGATTTCAAGATGTCGTATTTTAAATGTTTCTAGCCCCATGAATTACAGGCCTTTTATATTTTTTGAACCATCCTAAGTGCCTGGACCTGGATCATTTATACCAATGTAATTAGGTCTTATCAAGATAGTTTTTGAAACCTTGAATGATTTTTAATGATATTTTTTGAATTTGCATTGACCATTACTGAATACTTCTTACATGCTTACAAGACGTTGTATAAGTTAGAAGGTCGTTTGTGTGTTTGGGTTTACATCGCTTCAGCATCGCTTGTCTATGAATACAGTCTAAGGAGCTTTGTGATTGTTTTTATAT